TGAGGACTAGTCCCTTAGCCCAAGGGCCTCAACAAAGTGCTGCAGTAGAAAATTATTTGGAAGGTCATGATTTTCACCCCATAGAAAGCATTTTTTTTCAGTAAGGTTTGGCAAGCCTATCTAGGCCTGATAGAGTACTTTGGGTGGCTATATAATATAAAGCTAGGGACATGGTGGCTCAGAGGCTAAGACGCTGAGCTTGTTGATCAGAAAGACCAGCAGTTCGGTGGTTCGAATCCCTAGCGCTGCATAACGGAGTGAGCTCCCGTTACTTGTCCCAGCTTTTGCCAGCCTAGCCATTTGAAAGCATGTAAAACTCAAGTAGAAAAATAGGGACCCCTTTGGTGGGAAGGTAGCAGCGTTCCGTGCGCCTTCGGTGTTTGTCATGCTGGCCACGTGACCACGGAGACATCTTCGGACAGCGCTGTCTCTTTGGCTTTGTAATAAAGATGAACACCGCCTCCTAGAGCCAGAAATGACTAGCAAGTATGTGCAAGGGGAACCTTTACCTTATAATATAAAGCTACAATCTGCTTAACTGTAAATTGTTGAACAAGCCATCATCATTTAGGTTCATGTTCATGCTATGTCATAAGTCACAGTTTATAAATCACAGCAGCTAAGCAAACCGCACCTCACGCTTTATGGAACCAAATGCACTCTCCTTTATTCACCCAACAAACTGAGCACACAAAGGCCCTTATAATGGTGGAATCCCTACAGGAGATTATTTCACACTCACACACATCCTGGTGAAAGTGTACAATTTAAAATATGCTTCAGAGTCCAACGCCGTTGCATCTTGGAAGCTGTCTGAGGTCAGAGCAGGAACGCCCTAAATACATTAAATAATAGCTTTGTCCCACCAAAAATCAGAGACCTTTTGCAACTGTTTGTTGTTTAAATTTGCTTCCAAGGATCTGAGTACACGTAGTCTTTGACATACGCCCACAATTGAGCCCAAAATTTTTGATGTTAAGTGAGACATTTGTTAAATTTGTCCTTATTTTGCGACCTTTCTTGCCACAGTTAAGTGAATCACTAGTTACAAAATTAGTAATAAAGTTGTTAAGTGAATCTGGCTTGTCAGGAAATTGCAACCGGTGATCACATGACCACATTGCAACCGTCATAAATATGAATCAGTTGCCAAGCATTTGAATTTTGATCATGTGACCATGGGGATACTGCGACGGTCATAAGTGTGAAAAAGGGTCGTCTCTTTTTTTTCAGTGCCGTTGTAACTTTGAACGGTCACTGAATGAACCGAGAAGGGTGAGCACCCACCACCTTCTAAGATAAATGGCTTATTTAGGTAGCTAGGAAGATGGCCGAATACTAACCGTCTCTTCCTTACAAGGCAGACTATTCAAAACAGGAAAATATTTGAAGAGGCAATTCATATAGTGCTTGTTCTTGGCTCTTCTATCTTTTTTCAAATACAAATGGAGAAAAGTTATTATATTGAGGTTGCTGAAAAGGTGCCAGTCACAACCCTGTGGCAAGAGAAGTGCATGCACACTAATTACATGCTCTCTTCCAATCAAAAAAGCCACCAGCAATCTTGTCTCTCTATCATTGTCTCGTCCACTGGAAGCTGGAAAATTGTTACCCACTGTCTGGGCTAATAGCAAAAACCTAAATATACCAAGCCAACTGGAGTTAGATCACTTTCTGAGCCAACTCAGAAAGCTCAAACTGCCCAAGGAGCTGCTGATCCAGTTCTACAGAGGAATTATTTAGTCTGTCATCTGCACCTCTATAACTGTCTGGTTTGGTTCTGCAACAGGACAGACACAGATTTCAGAGGATAATTAGGACTGCAGAAAAAACAATTGCTACCCACCTGCCTTCAACTGAGGACCTGTATACTGCACCAGTCAAAAAGAGGGCTGTGAAAATATTTATAGACCCCTCACATCCCGGACATAAACTGTTTCAACTCCTTCCCTCAAAACGACGCTATAGGGCACTGCACACCAGAACTAGACACAAGAACAGTTTTTCCCCAAAAGCCATCACTCTGCTAAACAAATAATTCTCTCAACACTGTCCAACTATTTACAAAGTCTGTACTACTATTACTGTTCTCCGCTCCTCTCTGCATTCCCTGGGATGAAGAGGGGGTGAGGGGGTCTTGCTCTGAATTCCCTCTGCCTTGTTCTACCTCTCCCCTGCTCTACCCAGCCGGACTTTGCCCTTCCCCAGTTTCTTCCACTGCCATCGGAGCCACGCTCCCACTCCCTGTCAGCTGCTCAGCCTCCCCCTCGGAATCAGATTCCGACAGGGGCGTGACAGTTGACTCAGCCTTCCATCCTTCCGAGGTGGGTAAAATGAGAACCCAAATTGTTGGGGGCAATAGGCTGACTCTGTAAACAGCTTAAGAGAGGACTGTAAAACATTATAAAAAGCAGTATATAAGTCTAAGTGCTATTCAGTGGTGGGGTTCAAATATTATTGCCACCGGTTCGGTAGGTATGGCTTGGTGGGCACGCTTTGCACACATGCACACACTTTGCGTGCACGTCTGCGCCAAATACGCACTTTGCGCAGGCGCAGAGGCGTTCTAACTCGCCTCCTGCAAGCCTGCACAAGCCCGGTCGCTTCAGCAGCTGCCGCACGGCGCTATTCTGTGCTCCGCAGCCATGCTTCAAATTCAGCGGATAAAGGTGAGTATAGGAACCCGGGCAGGTGGGTGGGCCCAACAGCAGGGCAGTGGAGAGAACTGGTTTGGTTTCTGTTGCTCATCGCTCCTACCGGGTCTCCAGAACTGAGCAGAACCAAGCGAATACCACCACTGGTGCTATTGCTATTGTTATAAAAGAGAAAGAAGTTTCTATAGCTTTTTAGAAAGAAGAGAAATCTGCCTTTGTAGAACTTTTTATACCGACCTTAGTGTTAGGAATTAACAACCATCACTTCCAAGAACAGCTGATATTAGAAGTGTAGTTGGTTATGCTTTTTTTTAAAAATTAAATAAGCTCAGAATGTCCTCTTGGAACACTTTGGAGACTTCATGGTTCTTTGAACAAAGGATGACATTTTTATCTAGATACCCCATTCTGGATGAAACAGTAGGAAGTCAAAACCATGCAAGTGGTCCCCAACTTACAATTGGCTGCTTAGTGACCTTTTGAAGTTACAACAGACCTCCCCAGGGTTAGTTACAGCCCATCTTTGAAGTTCCAGTGCTTCCCCCACCCCCCCGGTCGTATAATTGCAATTTACGGGGGGTTTTCTGCTGGCCAGTTTCTTTACTGGCCGGTTTCTTTCACAATGCACTTGTCCAAGGAATAGAGGGGAGGGAATCCTTCTCGAAACACAAAAAGCACATAAGTTTAAATTTTTGCAGAAAACTAAGTTTAATCTCATGACGCCTTAAAGACTTAACAAATGTTATCACGTAAACTTGCATGAATTACATTCTAATGAAGTGAAGAGTTACCCTTACTTCCTGCAAGAATGCCTGTATTCACACGATATAACTGACTGGGACACGAGCAGGATTAACTGTGCTTGGCAGGCATCTACATCCAGAGGGCTGTGTGGTTCGAATGGGGAGCTTAAACCCCCCAACAGACCTGCTTTGGTTTGGATTAAAGTGTATGGCCTCCCCATGAGCCCTTACCAAGGAACATCATTCTAACCCAATCAGAAATAGAGCATTTGCCCACTTCTGCCTATTCAGTCCTCCAAGGAAAAGAGTTTGTGTTCTAGAGCAGTTAGATAATCCAAGACTTCTATAACTAAAATCACTGCCAAAGTCTTGCCAGCCACCGATGTTCCATACCCACTGCCAGCTTTCCTGCTTCAAGGCTGATATTAGGCACTTTTGGAGGATGTAGGAAGGTACCCTGTTTTTCAGGGGGGGGGGGGGGGGGGGCCATTTTTGACATACAGCAGAACTTAAAAGTTTGCAAACCCTTTTTGTGTATAATTACCATGGGATCATTTTACTCAATGAATCAATAAACAAGTGTTGAATTTATATTTACCGACAAACTACTCAGTAAATATATTAGACTAGTGTAGATCTATTTAGTTCTCATCAGCTAGCCATACCCTTCTGGGATTCGAACCCGGGCTACTTGCATATTAGGTAGATGTATTAATCTCTTAAGCCATGGGCTCTCCTCACTTTGTCAGCTATACCAGGGGAGAGATTTTTTCTTTTGGTGAGACTGGCCTATCAGGGCACCCTGGTCTACCCAATTATGGGATGGAGCATACTGCTTTCGTTTTCGCCTTTCAGCCCCAATCCAGGAGCCTTCGCAGACATTCGCTTTCGCCACAAACTATTTTTATGTGTTGAATGCTTTACTTCTTTTGTTGGTAAATATATATTCAACACAAAAGCAGTTTGTTGCAAAAGTGACTGCCTACGAAGGCTCGTGGATTGGGGCTGAAAGGCGAAAACGAAAGCAATACGCTCCATCCCATAATTGGGTAGATCAGGGTGCCCTGATAGACCGGTCCCACAGGAAGAAACACTTAAATAAATAAGTGGAAAGGTTTTGGCTCAGTTGTTTGATTGAGTTCTCTTTATCTTGGTTTAGGACTTGTGTGGAAAAGTTTTAGATCATATTTATGCAGAAATATTGAGAAGTCAAACGGGTTCACAAACTTTTCAGTGCTGCTTTAAGTAGTGTGATCCTGTGCTACTCATAACATTGACAGTTAAACATAGTTTGTTAGCCTTTAAGCTAAATGCAATGTTCCTCAACCTGAACCTAAGATGGATGGATGCATGCTGGCTGGGGAATTCTGGGAGTTGAAGTCCACCCCTCTTAGTGTTGTTCAGATTGAGAAACACTGAGCTAATGCAAGACCTCCTGTTATTTTCATGACAGAAGACTAATGTAGCAACGCCTTAAGAAGCAGAACTTTGCAAACACAATGCTTCAAGTTCTGCATGGTGAAAATAGGAAATAGTGACTGCGTATACAAAAAAAAAAATATCAAATTAAAAATATATGCCTACTATTCTTTTTTAAAAAACCCAAATTATTTATCTATACACAAGATGTCAGCTGAAATTATTGGAAAACTAAAAAAGTAGTTTCATCATCAGACCTTTATTAGTCACAAAGCTCTAATACCAGATCTATGTTTGCCTAAAAAAAACCCTAATACCCACCAAAATGGCAGAATTTTACCAGGAAGGTTTAACTTAAACATATCTATGACAAGTATTTTTATGAAAGGCTTTCTGCAAAGACATTCGACTTGCATCTTGGCTGCAAACCTTGGACGCAGTCTTTTTGGAACCAAGCTTCACCATTTTGAGGAAAGGTTCATTCCTGCAAAGTGAACAGATTTTCTTCAGCATCTCTAGCAGAACAAAACTGGAGAACCTGTCCAAGCAACCAAAATTCTGTTCTCCTTCAGAGCACATTGGATACGAAGAACCTCAGACACTCTGTTTAATTTTATAAAATGGGGATTTTCAGCAACTCGGAGGACGAAGCCCTTTAATATGAGGTGTCTCTTCCAATGCAAAAGTCCTCAAGAGAAAACCAAAGTGGTGGAAAAAGGTCTCAGCAGGATCTCTTGTGCGAATCCCACGTGGGAATCCCGCTTGGGACAGCAAAACGCAGACCTGAGAGAGGCAAAAGAAGGCAGAGTAAATGGGCACTTTTCACAGAATCTGTACTGCCTACTCCTGCCAATGAACCGACCACCACAGCGTACGTTCTCACAGTGCCTGACTAGTGAAGAAGGATTTGGTCTTTCGACAAGTGGGATTCACACAAAGCGGGCAACTCAGGGTTAACTGCTTGGAGCATAGTTCGTTCGACTTGAGGTGTGAGCAGACCAAATCTGCCAGAGCCTGAAAAATACAAATATATATATATATATATATATAAACATTGAAGTAAAATGAGCACAATAATTTTCTAATACAGGGGTCCCCCAAACTTGGCAAGTCTTAAAGTTGCCAAGTTTGGAGACCTTTGTTCTAATCTGTTAGCAAGCTATTCTATGAACAAGTAATATTTTAAGATAATGCTAAGGTAAGACAAAACTTTTACTGTCATTTTTTATTGTGGGCACACTGGAACACATTAAAAATGAAATTCTGTTGCCTGCTCTCAAAAGTGTACACATACATAATAACACACATATAAACATGCTATATACGTATACATATGTATATGCCTACATCCATAAATATAAATACATATACCGTATTTTTTCAGAGTATAAGATGCACATGACTTACTGTATTTTTTACTTACTGTAGTATAAGACACACTTTTTCCACCCCCAAAAGTGGGTGGAAATATCTGTGCGTCTTATACAGCAAATGTTGCTGAAGCCCCGCCCACCCACCAGCCCCCACCCTTCGGCCTCTGCCTCCCAGCAATTTGCCTCCTTGCAGCAAACAGCTTGTTTCAGCTTCAGCACAGCCTGATTAGCACAAGCAGCTGACTGTCGGTTGAATTGGCCTCCCGACGATCAGCTGTTTCAGGCTGCAGGGATTGCCATTTGCCGCCTCCACGCATCCCATTTTCATCCTCCACATCCAATTTTTGGCCTCCGCGCACCCCATTTTCCACCTGTTCTGATCCCCACCGCCCAGAATTGGCCGAGACCCTCTGAAGTGAACTCAAAGAATCCTTTATTAGGAATGCCAGCAGCCCCAGCAAAAAGTTTCTCTCTTACAGCAGGCAAACAAGTCTGGCCAGCCAGAAGATGCATCATTGTCTGCCACAGAGAAATATTCATCTCTGCCCTCTGCCTTTTATCCCCAGAGTTAGGGTGGGGCTTCGCTATCAGAAGTGGCTCTTCCATCCCGAGGATCGGCCCATGGATTTCCACTGCTCTCCTCTCCTCGGTCTTCTGCACATCAGTGTGTTAGGCACTGGACCCAGCTGTTCCTCCTCTTCCTCATCGGCCATCTCCAGATCTGGGGGCCGTTGACTCTTTATCTCAGAGCTGATGGCCGGCCCAGGCTCTGCCTCTGTCTATCTCTCTCTCTGACAGCTCCATTCCCTCTTCCTCCTCGGAGCTCTCAGGTTGCCTTGATGCTGACACTGACTCCCATACTTCCTCCTCCTCCTCCTCCTCTGATTCAGCTGCTGGAGGGGCCAGTAGCCAAAAGACCACAACATAATAGAAGACTTGCCTACTACCACGAAAAGCCTATAATAGGCCTATCATTCTGTAAGCCGCCTCGAGTCGCTATGGGCGAATAGGCGGCAATATAAATTCAATAAATAAAATAAAAATAAATAAAAAAATGTCACACTTTAGCAGAAGCATTGCAAGCTGGCAGAATTCCTCCATCTAAGAGGCCAGCTTCCATAAATAAAGTGATCCCATCCACTTGGTGGTCCTCGGCCCTCCCAAAATGTTACATGTGTCCAGCAAAAGAGGGCCATTCCTGCCAGATAAACGGGAATCTATCCAGGGTGGCTTCTCTGGAGAATCCCACATTTCTCCCTCTCTGAGGAAGATGGACGGTTCAGAAATGTGAAAAATAAATAAAATAAAAAACTTTCTCAGGGAAATAGGGAAGCGATACCTTGGCGAACAATGGATTTCCATTCAGGGATTCCGCTCTTCTGATATTTTCAACTCCACACTGAAGAATAAAAGAAGGAAAACAGTTGAGACACAGTACCCTACTGGTCTTTGGCTAAAGCAATAGGAATGGAATTAGAACTGCATTTAGCTCATTTTCACAGGCACAAAAAGAGCAGTTTTCCCATATTTTGTTCTCATTTATTTATTCATTCGATTTCTATGTCTGCCCAGAGTAATTTGCTATGGATGGCTACAGATACTGAAAACACAAAATAATAAAATAAAGTAAAAAATAAAGTAAAACCAGAGGCGGTGTTTGCCGGTTCTCTGTAGTAGTCAAAATTTCCGCTACTAGTACACCAGAACTGGTCCGAACCGGCTGAATACCACCTCTGTCAGAGACTAACATCAACTGCTTATCCCAATGTTTCTCAACCTTGGCAACTTGACCATATTAGGGTTACAATTCCCAGAATTCCCCAATTAACATACTGGTTGGGGAGTTCTGGGAATTGAAGTCCACATATCTTAAAGCTGTCAAGGTAGAGAAACGCTGCTTTATCCTACCCTACTCACCGCGAGCCAATAAAAAACAAGGTTTCTTTTAACACACGAGTACATAAAATATTGTTGTCAATATGATTAAAGGCTTCAAGTTTTTACAAGGATTAAGGAGATCTTGGCTCAAACTCATACTTAGTCATGGAAGCTCATTAAGTGACTTGAGTTCAATGGTGCTTTTAGCCTGAATTGCTATTCTGGGGAGGGGTGACGGGGGACTAAAGAAGATGTACTATGTATGTGATTTTCGACTCTTAAGGAAAGATGGAATAGAAATTTAAGTAACAGTAGTAGTAGTTGTAATGTAATGCTACTAATGCTAACACTAATATCCAATCAATAGCATGGGAGTAGGATCTACAATGCCTGCAGAGACTGCCTTTGGCACCAGTCAGATTCTCTGCTCCATCCTTTTTTTATAATTTTTAAAATAATGACAATGATCTAAAATTCTTAGATCATGTACACAGTGATGGGTTAAAGATCACCTGTCTACTTGGACAAGAAGCACCCTGGGAATTAAAGTCCACATATCTTTAAATTGTCAAGATTGAGAAACACTGCTATGTGGGCTAGAAAGGAAGGTGTAGGGAGCCCTCACTTTCTTGCCTTTGGGGAAATAGTTGTTTCCTGGCTGCCTATTGTCATTCTGGTAGCCATCTGTGACTGCACAAGCAACATCTCCTCAAAATCCCATCTGCCAACATGGATTTTCCAACAGTAGATGGACATTGGCTAGGCTGGCTTGGAATCCTGGGAGTTGTGGTTCCAACACCTTTAGATATCACTTGGCTGAAAACCACTGAGTCAGAAATGGCCCTGTGTCCTCATCTCTATGAGCCAAGGTCAAACATGCACCTTCTCTCTTTCAACTTACAGCTCCTTTGTGTAATATTGCAACTGTTGAAAGGCTGAGGGAAAATCCAACCTGTAATAATCCTTTTTGGGAACACTTGCTTCCTGTTAAGGAGCTACAGGCAAACAGTGGTGAGAAAAACAATGGCCTTACCTCATTGGCTAAGACCTGCGCATATTCAATGTCAAGTTCATAGAGTGTTTCAATGTGATCGCTGGTGAACGCAATTGGAACCAACAAGATGTTCTTCTTTCCCCTTTGGCAAAGTCCCTTAATAGTGTCATCTGTCTGAGGACCCAACCAAGCCATCGGGCCGACCTAAAACAACAAAAGAGAGAAGGAATTTTTAGAAAGGACAATTTCCTATTGTTGTCGTGGTGATGGTTGTTCACATTTATGTCCAATTCTTCATGACCCCATGGACACAACAGGCCACGACCCCCTGTCTTCCACTGTCTCCTGCAGTTTGCCCAAATTCATGTTCATTGAGTTGATGACACTATCTAACCATCTTATCCTCTGCCCTTCCGTTCTCCTTTTGCGTTCGATCTTACCCAACCTCAGGGTCTTTCCCAATAAGTCTCTGTGTCAACTCCTAAAACATTTTCTATGCCCATTTTATAGCTGCCAACAGAAGCAGGAGGATGAGTTTGAAAGAACAATGCAGCAGTTTGGAAGTGAAGGTACCATACATTGAAAAGATTATACTAACCGACTGGAGTTTCTGCTGTGCAAAACCCCAACTGGAGAACATGATTGATGACTCTTGGCTATGGACGTGTTTCGCTGCAGAATATGCATTATGATACACCCAGAGGGGTCGGGGAAAACCAGGGTCAAGGGTGACAGTGAATTTCGTGTCTCAGAATCGGCTCCATCCAGGCAATGCCAATATGTTGCTCCTAATGAATTCTTTGAAGCTTTTTGAAGTTTGGCTCAAGGGTCATGATTTAAATAGGGCGATTGCTGGAATCCCGACACTCTGCTTTTTTAACCCCCTCTCTCAAAACATTAGCTTCACTTCAGTTTTTTGATAGCAAAAGATTTGGTGCCCTTTCATTCTTCTATCATATTTTTAAATGTCCTAGTCTAGCCTAAAACCTTAGTATTTCCTCAGTAATCTCTTATACAAGTATGGTCATCACCATCCTTAATTTCTTCTGGGTCCAACATCTGAAACAAGTTGTCTTATTTGAGTGATGTATAACATCAAAACATACTTTACAACAATCAGCAGATGAAGCCAGAGGAAGTCCCAGACCCATCCCCTCTTCATCTTAGGGCACTCAGGGAGGAGTGGATAAGGGAGAAATGTGAATGGCGTGGTCTAGCGGAAGGAAAGGGCCTTGATCGCCTTCATGGGCTGCAGCTGTGAGGACTGTTTAAAAGGACAAACTGCGCACAGGCCAGTGCTGGAAGCAAAGCATGAAAATATTTCTAGTCTGTCTGTTCTTATCTGAGTTCTGGCGTCCTTCCCAGTGTGTGTATTTCGATATCTGTGGACATCTTCAAGCCCTTATCCTGCCTTATCACATTAATTGCTTCAGTGTGGTTTGTGTTGTTTTTTCCTATTTATAATTTATATGTATTTTGAGTTGGAATGGAATTTCTTCCTTTTCACAACTGTTTGTGGGGGGGTTTTTTCTCGAGTCAATGATAATTGGACCTTTAAAGCCAAGGTGAAGGAATGAAATGGACTTCACCTGTTTTTGTGACTTTGTTGCTTTTGTATCCCACCCTGGGTCATCACAGATGGAGAAGCATTTTATCAGAGTTCCCTGTGGGATGGCATACCTTGGACTGCCACACAAGCCTATATGGATTACAATGGCCGAGTTTCTCCATCACCTTTTGAACAGTAGCTCCCACTTCTTGTGGATATGGATCACCACGATTAACTACCTGCAGCACGGAAACAAGAAAGAAGACAAGCAATTTTTCTGAAAGAAGAACACTTATTTGATTAAAGTGAAGGCCTTAAATTATTTTCTAGTTCTGAGCTCCCAAAGTCCCTTAATCTTTATGATTTTTCACATGCGTACAAAGTTAATTTTCATTTCTTCTATTTTAATTTTTTAATTTGTTTTTATTATATAGAATGCAAAGAAAAATAAAATAGGAAATTAAGGGAAGGAAAAGGAGCAGGGATAAGGTGGTGGTGTGAGATACAAGGGAGATAAAAAAGAAAAGGGAAAAAAAGGCATTGACTTCCGACTCTTCTTAGCACAGTACACGATAAAACCATTCCAACCTCTTTTTGCTTTTACACATTAACATATAACTAGCCATTACTATAATGACAAATCTTTTTGATCCACAAAAGCAAAGTCAAAGTTTCATTTTTTTTAATCATAAGCACAACATCCAGAAGTGATATCCAAATGAGAATATATTTTCCTCTTTGAATAAAATAATCAATTTCATCATTCCTGCTTTATCTTCTTTGTTACAAAAGTAGTATGCATTTCTAGTTGCACCTATTTATCTCTCTGAACTGTCACTATTTTTATTAACAAAACTCATTGCATTATTTCAATTTCTTTAACCTTGATGAAAAGAAACCCCCTCTTTTTTTACGGCACTAAACTTTTTAAAGCCTTTTTTTAAGTCAATTTTTTTAAATATTTAAAATGTATAGCAATAGCACTTATATAGCACTTCACAGCCTTCTCTAAGTTGTTTACAGAGTCAGCCTATTGCCCGCAACAATCTGGCTCCTCGTTTTACCTACCCCAGAAGGATGGAAGGCTAACCTTGAGCCTTGTGAGATTTGAACTGCCACATTGCAGGCAGCCAGCAGGCAGCAGAAGTAGCCTGCAGTACTGCATTCTAACCACTGCACCACTGTGGCTCTTTCTAAGTTAACTTTAAAACCAGGAAGTGACCATGCTACAGAATCCTAGTCCAGAATTTAGGTGATTGAGAAGAAGCAGAAAATACCTGTCGGCCTCCCACGTTACATTGGAACATTTCAAACTTGGTTTGAGAGACCCATACCCCACCGGGTCTCTAAAACCACTTTCGTGGCAGAGCTAAGATCAAACTAATGATATTTCAGGGACGCTCAACTATGCACAGAAGCATAATCGAGCTGACCTTATTGCTGATTAGCAAAGCATTTGCTGAAATGTCCAAGAAAGGGCTACTGCAGTATATCTAGTCCTCAATTTATGACCAAAATGGACGCGAGAATTTCAATTGCTAAGCAAAACAACTGTTAAATGAGTCACCCCCGATTTTATAACCTTTTCTTGCCATGGTTGTTAAGTGAATCACGGCAATTGTTATGTGACTCATGCGGTTGTTACAAGAATCCAGCCTTCCCCATTGATTTTCATGTTGGAAGGTTATAAATGGTTGCCAAGCACCCAAATTTTGATCAAGTGACCACTGGGATGCTGTTGTAAGTTGAGGACTACCTGTGGATAAAGCAACCATCTCTAAGCAAAGTGAAGTTGCTGGTTAAAGATCTGTCTAGCCAGATAAGCTAGCTGCCTGTTTTGTTTTTTTTCAAATGGTCATCCTTTTCCAAAGTCCATTAAAAACAGTCACAATTTCTCCTAGCCTTGAAACCACACTGATTAGGAAATAAATATATTTATAGATTTTCATTTTTAATACACAGGATTGCTTTAACTGGAGTTATTCTCCAGCAGCAGCATTATTTGCGGTACGGTTTTCAAACCTATTTTGGATCTACTGCATTACTGAGTTGTTTCTGTTTTTGCCAAAGACCACTAGATGGCGCCAGGTTTCCACAAATTGCAAAACCTGAAGTGCCAGGAGACCATTTCAAGTTTTAATGCCACATTTCTTTCTATAAACGGAACATTATCAGCTCTGCTTTACACTATTTTGTTACGCTGTTAGAACCGTTTGACAATGACTTCCAGAAAAAAACAGCATTAACATTTGGAGTTCATGTTCCTTCTTTTAAGTTACAGAAATTACTCTAACAAAGAATGTGGATTCAAGTACGAAGCCTATTTTTTATAAGGAAGATATGAACAGCCTAGCAAAATACCTTGTGCTAAATTTTAAGCCCGGTGGGAAAAAAAGTTTCCCGCTTTAATTCTTTGCAGATTGTTTCCTGAAAAGAATTATTATTATCTGGAATTTCATCATGCCCGCTTGTGTAGCCTCAGTCCTGGCAATCACCCTAACAAACAAGCATGTTATATCAATCAGTGTGGACTTCAAAGTGGTTTACTACCGGTTTGGTGGGTGTGGCTTGGTGGGCACACTTTGTGCGTGCGCGCACACACTTTGCATGTACGCACGTGCCAAACGCATGCTTTGCACACACGCAGAGGCTTTCCTACCCACGTCCTGCACTCCTGCACTCTCCCGGTGGCTTCAACAACTGACACGCAGCAATCTGTCGTGCCATGCAAAGCATCTACACTTCAAACGCAGGAAGTATGGTCAGTATGGGAGCCCTGGGGGGCGGATGGAACCAACAGCAGCTCATCAGAGAGAACCAATTCGGTCTTAGCTGATCTTCAGAGCTACTGGATCGCCAGAACCGGCCTGAACCAGTAGCATCCCCACCTCTGAAATCAAGGTATAACTTTAAGATAGATGCTGTTCTTCTTCTGTGCTGCTTCCTGCTCTGATCTTTCTCTTTTTCCCAAGAACTCCCCATTGGACGAGGAGTGTCACATGTCAACCAGGTTACCCAGGGGTGGGATTCAAAATTTTTTTAACAACCGGTTCTGTGGGCGTGGCTTAGGTGGTGGGCATGGCTTGGTGGTCATGTGATTGGCTGGGTGTGGCCAACTCAATATCACTCACATCGAGGCACGCATCTCCTCGCCTGGCCTCTCACGACTGTGGGGATGCTGCAACAGTCGTAAGTGTGAAAAATGGTCATAAGTCCTTTTTTTCAGTGCCATTGTAACTTTGAATGGTCACTCCACACAAGCAAAGTACCAGCAAAGGTGGGGAAAAAAACTCCAGAGACGTTCCTGAGATAGGAAGTCTAGTCCTGCCAAGAATGTAATAAGGGTTAACGGAGAGGCAGTTTCTGTAAGCAACACCAGAATGTTTCCTTCCTGCCTTCCTTAGAAGGATTAGGCCAGTAATTTCTTCTAACAACCGGTTCTCCGAACTGCTTAGAATGTTAACAACCGGTTCTAGTGAATAGGTGCAAACTGGTAACCCCTGAGATTACCTCTGTGTAACACTGGGTTAAAAAAATGCACTCCATCTCTTGTTTCCTTCAGGGCTGACTTTTTGGCTGAAGTAACCTATAGAGAAGGCATCTGCTATAAAAAGTGCCTTTTTTACCATCATAAGCAACTTGGGTGAAACTATGCTTGGCAATATTTACTATGAATAGAGGTAATAGAGGTCTGTTACCACAATGAAATTAATTAATTAATTGATTAATTGATTAATTGATTAATTGATTAATTCATTAATTCATTCATTCGGCACCCATCTTGGCAACTGGGCTTTCCTTTTGGAATGCTTTTTCCTTCAAAATGTTTCTCTTCGAAATGTTTTCAAGGAAAAAAAAACAATCCAAGAAAGTCTGCTTGTTTTTTGGAAAAAGAATCTTTGGGACGACTTCATTTCAAAGTGATTCAGGGCAGGTGAACAGCATAAAAACATTAACAATATCAAAAAATATATATTCCTAATCCATAATGAAGCATATGGTAGAAGCAAAACAACTGCAGAGTTCAGGTTTAAAGTTGAAAGCAGGAAAATAAGGGGTGTGAAAGCTATTAAGGAGACCTTGGGAGAACATCAACACGATTTTTTGTTAGATCCTTCGGTTTATTCCTATTTCTGCAGGTATGTTTCTGGCCTGCCATCAAGAACAGGACACCTAGAGGCATGTTTCATGTGCTTTTAGGTAATGTTCTCCAGGTTGTAAACTTTTCTTTTATCACTAAAATCTTGCAAGGCTTCCGTCGTTTTCACATGACATCATGAGAAATTTCTGAGGTCTACACACAACGATGCAAAAACATAGAACTGAGGTTGCTGAAATCATAAAAGATCCCAGAATCTCATGAGATTCTAACCATGTTGAGTATGTAGGCAAATATGTATGTATGCATTTATTTGCCTGGACCATTGTGCAAAATCAGTTAAGAATACACCTACTGCTAACAAAGATCACTATACTCAGTTTCTTTTCTTGCTGTGATTCAACATCAATCTTTGCTATTTCACCCTGTTTCAGGGCTCCATCTTTACACAAAAATAAACAACCATATAGTTGCTATATGGGCTGTTGGTCTGAGCGCTGAGCCTGGCACTGTGGTTGCAAACGTTTTGTCACCATTCGGGGAGAAATCGTCAGAGTGCTTTGAATTGCTATATTCCGTTATCCTGAACTGATGAAATGGCTCAAGTATAAGGTAGATGTCAACTCATAAAATATTTCTATGGTCTTTTTTAGAGTTGCCAACAGAAAGGGAGGGGGGAGCAGTGCAGCAGCTTGCATTCCATAAACGTTTTCAAAGATAGTTTCTAGGTGACCAAAGTTTCTGCTACGCAAAATTCTAACTGGAGAGCATGATTGATGACTCTTGTCTATGGATGTGTCCAATTGGAGAATATGAATTACGATACACCCAGGGGGTGGAGGGAAAACAAGGGTCAAGGGTGACAATGAATTATGTATCTCAGAGTCAGCTACACCCAGGCAGTGCCGGCATGTTAACTCCCAATAAATCCTTTTTAAGTTTTGGAAGTTTGGCTTGAGACTCATGATTTAAATGGAGGTAACTGCTGGAATCCTGATAGTAGATTTCTATTAGAAAGATGGAAAATACTTTCAGCTTTAAAGCAGAGATTTAACAACTGACTGCTGTTACTCACTGACATTGGTAGAGAATGAGCAGAGAAAAGGATCACCGCCTCTTTTTTCTTATCCGGTGGAAATAAGTCTAGTTCTTTCTTTATGTGGTCTGCAAAACACTGAAAAGCAAAAATAAGGAACGTAAGGATTTAAGGGCATTAAATACAGGTAGTCTTCGATTTATGATGGTCACTTAACAAATGTCTGAAATTACAATACGAACAGTAATAAGTATGTTCCAAAGTTCCAACAGCTCCTCCCCCCTCCCCCCCATGGTCATGTGACTGCATTTCAGGCTCTCAGCAACTGGGCCATATTTATGGCTACTTGCAATGTCCTGTGGCAATGTCACTTAACAATCAATCACATGATTTGCACTCATGACTGCCATAAAAACTGTGTAAAAATCAGGTGTGGTCCTGTTTAGTGCCTTGACCGCAAGGACTTATGTCTCAAATTCTAAACCCGATTGTAGTCGTAAGTCAAGGGCTCAGATAAAACAAAGGACATCCAGACAAGCCTACCAATATAGAAACCCTTTCTGAGGAGAAGTGGGAGGAGAGGAAAACTGAGAAAGACATGACAACACTCTTGAGAAATCTGAAATAACTTTGTGTGAAATCTCTTTCTCCATACCTGAATGAGGAGAGGATGCGTTGGCCACCTGTCAATCGTACTCCACTTCATCTTTGGTTTTTCTCCTTTTTGGTGATAGTAGCGATATATTGCATTCAAACTGCTTCCTGAAGGATGCAAAATAATGAAGTAGAACAAAAGGCTAACCCAAGAAAAGATCATCCCCTTCCCTTCTTACAAGTCTTTTTTTCAAATCTCTTATCCTGCAGCCATTACCAAACCTGAGCCCCAACCAATAACTCGCTAACGTGATGTTTTGAGGTGGGACAGAGATAAGAACTAGAGTGTAAGCCCTAAAATGAGCTACACCCTTTAAAAAAGGAGCGAAACTGCTTGAAAGCTGTAAAAAAATGGAAAATGCTGATTTGTTTCATGACATTAAGACAGGTGGACTTTAATTTCCAGAATTCCCCAGCCAGCAACGTGGCGAAGTCCACCTGTCTTAAAGTTGCCATGTTTGAGAACACTGTCCTAATCTATCATCCCCAAAGCAGACAAGCAAGCTGAATCCATTTCTTCCCTCTATCTTGTGACATAATTATGTCTTCTTTAGCCCAAGTTTTTAAGTCACCCATCCCTAGTTTTGACCCACTCCTCCTTTTGGAACTTAGCAAATGACCTTATGCTGCAAGGAACTCACCTGTGGTGGAACAGCTATACTGTGGATACTGCGTGAATGCAATGGCTCTTTCAATACCATCTTTTTCCATCTCTTCGATCGCTTCTTCCGTCAGAGGATGGACATAACGAAAGCCGATATAATACTTGTGTGGAGCTGAAAGCAAAAGAGAATGAGTGGCTATCTACCAGTCTATGGAACAAACTTTTTCTTGGAGATATATCAACTACGGCAATTTTCCTCAGTCTATACCACTGTTTCTCAATCTTGGCAATTTTGTGGACTTCTGAACTTCTTGGATGAGAAGCAAAACATTTTCAAGGGGAAAAAATATCAAGAAAATCCAGCTGCCTTTTGAGAAAGCATTTATGGGACAAACATGAACTGGTCGATTGAGAATCTCTAAGACATTTGTGGACTTCAGTTCCCAGAATTAACTATCAACTATCATAGATTTAGAAACATTGATCCACACCCTCCAGCTATTTGGGACAGCTACTCCCTACAACCCTGGCCTACCACATTGGATAGAGTAATTATGGTCCAACTCCCTTCTCTAATGGGATACACACCTAATGAGAAGCACACATTTCCCATGCTGTCAACAAGACTTGGCATTTTATCCAGGCTTTGGGGTAAATAAAGGGAGGATGACTAGAATTGGTTTTGGGGTATCCCACGGTGATGACTGAAGCACCAGGTTATGCTTTGTTTTATGATTTTTATGGTTGTGGGTTTTATTGTTGTGAGCAGCCCAGAGTTGTGCTTTAGGTTGGGCAACCATACAAATCTTTAAATAATTAAAAACTCCAAAGCATCTGGAGAAGTGGAAAAAATTGCTCAGATGAGCAACAATTCTGGAGATCAGATGAAATGAGTCTGCTAGCAAACGAGATCATAAGAAGCTCCCTTTAGGGTCACCTTTGCATAATATGTGGGCCAGTCCAGTATGGGAATCAGCCAGTTTGCACCGGTTCACATAAACCGGTAGCTAATATTCTGAGCAGTTCTGTGAACTAGCTGTTGGCAGAAATCTTCCAACAGCCCTTTCTTTTTCCCACCTTACGGGATTAATCCTGTCAGGAAGGCAGGAAGGAGGCGTTCTGGTGTGCCTCTGTGTCTTGTTTCTAGCCTAATTCTTATCTTTATTATTGCCCTGCTTAAGTGTTTTCCAAAATTGCATCTGGTTCAAACTTTGTTGGCCATGCCCACCCAGCCACGCCTACCCAACTGATCATTAGGGCAGAGAACTGGTTGTTAAATTATTTGAATCCCACCACTGGGCCAGTCCTACTGTTAGGCAGAATGGCAGCCTTAGGTAGGAGATGTTTGTGGGCACTGTGTACAATGTTGTGTGCGTGATAAGACTGGTTTTACAAGACTGGTTCTGCACTCCTTAAATTAGTCCGTACTCTCAAGGACAAAGACACTTCACTGTCACCCATACTAAAAGAAGATTCCAAGGATGCTGTCTGGTCCTTCAAAGACTTTGAACCAAAACTGCTTTAGGTATATGGAGATTTTCAGCCATCCAGGTCATAGTTGTCTCAAAGGTGCTTTTTCTCAAAAAGCAATTGGATTAGTGTTGTTGTTTTTTCTTGCATAGAAGAACAGCTCTCAGAAAGAGAGAGAGAGGAAGGGAGTGAGGGAAGGAGAGAGAGAGAGAGGGAGGGAGGGAGGGAGGGAGGGAGAGAGAGAAATAGAGAGAGGGAGGGAGGGAGGGAGAGAGAGAGAGTTAATGACCTGATGACTGCAAAGAAATACACTTTTTACACACACCAAAACCCATCGTCCTGTCAGAATCTATCCTTCCATCCCCCAACCATCCAGTCTCACAACTGAAGAAGGTTCTTGACTGAGAAGCAAAATGACTTCTTTCTCAAGGAAGAAACAGTCCAGTTGCTTTTAGGAAGGAAAAAAAAACACTTTTGAGACAAAACTGCTTTAGTTTCAGCCCTTTTCAAAATAGATTTTTTCCCCTTCCTTCCTGTCAGGCACAGTTGGCAGAAAATGGATCCAGCATTAACAACAAGGAGGATTTGCTAGAAAGCTTCTCAAGTCCTGCTGTCAATATTGAGGTTGATAAAGCTGTTTGATCTGGTTTAAGGTAATTTATGGGCTAAAAGACTGTCCAAGCTTTCTCTTCTGGAAAAAAAAAAAGTTTTGGTTCCATTCCTCCGGGAGCAGTGCTTCTTAGCCACTCTAAAAATGTGTGGGCTTCAGCTCCCAGAATTCCCCAGAGATCATGCTTGGTTGGGAAATTCTGGGAGTTGAAACCTGCAGGTCTTAAAATTGCCAAGATTCAGAAACATTGCTCCAGAGGATTACATAGAAAGTACCGGAAAGATCTCAAAAGCGGATTAAAAAAGGACCTAGTGGAAAAGGAAAAGCCTATTATTTGCACATCACATTTAACCCGATTACTAAATTAAGGTATTTTCTGGGTTTAAACAATGCATTGAGTTATTAACTAACCAACGGGCTGGATCACTGTAATATATGGAAGCCATAGTACAGACAAAACCCCAGCTGAGTTAACGTTGAACAGATTTAGCTCATTTTGCAAATGCAGCTACAGTGCTATGTATTTCAGTGATTAAGCACAACATGCTACCAGCCACAAGGGCTATACATCAGGGGTGTCAAATTCGATTTCATTGGAGGCCGCAGGGTTGTGTATGAACTGGGGGGAGTGGGTGTGGCCAGAGGGTGTGGTCAGCTTGACATCACTCACATTGGGGGTGCCTGTGGTGGCCTGAGCGCTCTGCCAGAGAAAATGGGCTCCCAAGCTCTGTTTTCGGCCACAACGGCCTCCTGCAGCCCTCTGCCAGCCTGAACTCCATTTTTGCTGGTAGAGGGCTGCAGGAGGTCATTGTGGCTGAAAACGGAGCCTAGGAAGGCCGCACACGGCCCTCTCTAGCTCTGTTTTCACTGGCAAAGGCACCGTGCGCCTGTCCATCACAGTTTTCAGAGTGGCTCCGCGGGCCAGATTTAATACCCTGTGGGTCAGACACGGCCCACGGGCCTTGAGTGTGACACCCCGGCTATACATGATACTGCTACTGCAGTGCCTTTGAGTACTATATGCTTGAAGATACAAATAGGCAGAAGCTATTTCTTAGTATTTACAGCTTTTCTAAGGGCATCTGGCTAGCCATTCCTGGAAATGGAAAACCTGGAGAAATAGATGCATCATTCTCTAGAGCAGTATAAAACGAGCTACACCCTTAAAAAAAAAAAGAAGAAAAGAGCTAAAATGTTTCCAAGCTGTAAGAAAATGGACAATGGTGACTTGTCTCATGATTACTATTTACAGTGTTCCTCAGTATCTGGCAACTTTAAGACATGTGGACTACAAGTCCCAGAATTCCCCAGCCAACATGCTGGCTGGGGAATTCTGGGAGTTGAAGTCCACACTTCTGAAAGTTGCCAAGGTTGAGAAACATTGCTCTAGAAGCCAGGAGGTCAATTATTGCAGGTGGTTAAAACTCTAATTCCGGAAAAGAAAGTGTGCAGCTCATTTTCTACAGGAGGAAGAGATAAGAGATCAACACTGGAGACAGTCTAATCAGAATCAAACCTTTCAGCGCTCAGCTCTCCTACAGAAATCAATGGGCTTTAACTGCTAGAAGCTGCTATGAGTCAATCCTGAGTTCAGGTGACTGCCTGGACTAATAACTTTAGCTTTGTTGACAAGTTTTTTTTATTCAGAAGTGGTTTGCCATTGCCTGCTTCCTACTTCTAAGAGTGAGTGATCAGCACAAGGTCACCCAGTTGGCTTTGTCCCTAAGGCAGGAGTAGAACTAAAAGTCTCCCACTGATGCCTTAACCACTAAATTAAATTCATTCATTCATTCATGTAAAATTTTACCTGGGACTGGATGGGAAATCATCAAGAAATCCTAGATCATGGGCTAAACTGGGATTTTTTTTAAAAAAGAAAAATTATAGATGAAGTGAAAGCCACATCCAAATGGTTTCCAAGAAAACTACAACGAAGTGTCTCTATAGTCACCAACAGTTAAGCTCAACTTGAGTGAATATTTACTCTTTTAAAATCCTTGATACAACTACAACACAGAGGACTTTAAATCTTCAATTGCGACCTTTTCCTCCACAAGGAAAAATGGTGGGATTATGCCTTTATTTTGGGAATAGCTATATGTGCCTTTTATCCAGGTGAAAAATATAATATTTCAAAAGCTTCTTGCAATAATAAAATGTCACTTCTTAAAAAAAAAAAATCAGTGCAACGGGCAGCCCCCCCACCAGCTCAACCAAGAACATCACAAATCCTGCCTTGATCTAAGCAGTGCTTCTCCTCGCTGTCCTGAAAATTTCTCCTGCAAAGACATTAGCATTCTTGCCATGGTGTAGAATTTAAAAAAATAAATACATTCTGTGACATAATCAGAGTCCATGTTAAGATGCAAGAGACATTCAAACAGATAAAGTCAGGGCGGCTTTCAATTGGGAAACCACACTGTGAAGTAAGGAGTGAGAAGGTCTGACAAGTGCAGATAATACTTCCTAAACCATTAACTTGCTGCTCTGAAGTCCCAACCCTTTAACTGCCTAATTTGATGAAAAGGTGTCTGGCTGTTGAAGAATGGAAAGTCCTCGGGGCTCTCTGAGCTTGGTTGTTGAAGGAGTTCTTTCCATTTTCTGGCCTGCATCCCAAAATTTGGATTGCCCACTAGGTCCACAAGGGACATGGTGGCTCAGTGGCTAAGACGCTGAGCATGTCGATCAGATGATTGGCGGTTCAGCAATTCGAATTCCTAGTGCTGCATAATGGACTGAGCTCCCGTTACTTGTCCCAGCTTCTGGCAACCTAGCAGTTCGAAAGCATGTAAAAAATGCAAGTAGAAAAATAGGGACCACTTTGGTGGGAAGGTAACAGCGTTCCATGCGCCTTATTGGCGTTTAATTATGCCGGCCACATGACCACGGAGACGTTTTCAGACAGCGCTGGCTCTTCGGCTTTGTAACTGAGATATGTAATAGAGATTAGAGCCGGAAGCGACTACCACTTATGTGCGAGGGGAACCTTTACCTTTACTAGGTCCACACCTACTAGGAATTCACACCTACTAGGAATTTCATTGCCCCCTTGCTTGATGTTGCAGCAAAGGAACAACATGGCACAGCCTGAGTCCAAATTACATGGAACAATGTGAATCCACGTTGCTCAAGGAACTGTCTCACCCTATCGGGATAGGCCTCACTTGCGCAGGCAGAAAAAGCCTGCTGAGATCCTGTCGGCTAAGGAATCTGAGCTGGTGGGATCCAGGAGAAAAGCCTTTTCTGCCACGGACCCTGCCCTCTGTTATCCCCTCAAGGTCCTCCCTCAGCCTTCTGAAATCTAGCTCTGCCAATTAGCCTGGGGACCGGATTTTGAGGGGAAGGGTGCCATGCTGGAAGAATTTATTGGATTAAACAGAAGATCCCACCTCCATCTGTTGTATTCTCCTGCCATTTTAACTATTATATTTACTTTTTTAATCTTTCGTAATGCTGCTTTTAATAAAGTATAAGCTGCCCAGAGTCATCTGACTACGTTGGGTGGTATATAAATTTAATAAGTAAATAAATAAATAAATTAATAATAAATGAACTCAATTATAATTATTATTAGCATTAGTGGCACAGTCAACCACATTATTATTAACAGTATTTATACAGCCGTCCATCTCACAAGAAATTACTCTGGGCAGCGTGCAACAAGCAATAAGCACCATCAATATGTAAAAATGTTCATTATGAAAATATAAAAGGCCATTATAAAAAAAGGAAAAAAGCCACTATAAAAAATTAAAATATACAAACCCAGAGAGAGTAAAAAAAAAATCAACCACAATGAAGCCATCTAAGAACAACTCTGGCTCCTTGTCCCCTTGCACAAACACTGAGAGGGCTGACAGAAGAATATTCACATACTCCCATACACTCCCTCAACTTACAACCAATTCAACTGTTCAAAGCTACAACGACCTTGAAAAAAGTCACTTATGACTTCTACATGATCCTATTTGTCTGAATACTTATATTTGTTCAAACAATGATCTTAGCTGAACAATAACTTACTAACCTATGAAATCTATGTCAGCATTTGTGAGGGTGATGGAACCATTTGAATAGAGCAGAGGTCCCCAAACTTGGCAACTTTAAGACGGGTGGATTTCAACTCCCAGAATTCTTCAGCATAGCATAGCTGGCTGAGGAATTCTGGGAGTTGAAGTCCAAAAGTCTTAAAGTTGCTAAGTTTGGAGACCTCTGCAATAGAGGGACTTTGCAAGTTAAACCTTCCCCAGCCGTGGGAAGATAGAGCCAATTCTCCCTCATCCAACAACACTGACCAGATGGATTACACCACACACGCACACAGATCATGCCTGAATCAGCTCCTGCTTGTCATCTCCAAAACTGGGTACTTGTATAGGTTATTTGTACAGTGTGCCTTGGAACTGTCCCTTCTTATCAACCGGTCCACATTCAAGGGAGGAACTGACTAGATGTTGGGTGTAGCCAGTGGCACTTTCTTTGTTTAATTATACAGGGTGTGTATACGTTTGTGTGTGCAAACCACAGCCAAATGGGAACCTTTTTAATCACACAGAGGCACATGCAAATATCAAGATTCCTAATAGGTGCCACCTCACATTTTAAGAAGAGATGTTTAAAACCGGTCATTTTCAGAAAACATTCTGAGGGAAAAACTTCGGATATTTTTCTTAATCACATTTTCCTAGTGAAAGTTGTCCTTTCTGCCAGATCTTACTTAGTGCTCACAAGATAATGATTCTTTCTCACCGCACCTACACTTGGGAGCATCCTGGGATGTGTGAAGTAATCACTAGGCCACCAACAGAGTTCTCATTTGCACAGGTGAGAGAAAAGAAGAAAAAGTTCTGATGGTTGACCTCTACATATAGCTGGAAACACATTCTTCCTTCTGGAAAAATTAAACATTTTATCTCCCTGTCCACTTATTGGTTGGATTATTCTGAAGGATGGCATAACTCTTAAGAACATACAATGATTAGTACAGATCTCTTATGAAGGTTATTGAGCAGGGAATGGAAGGGATAGTATTTACTAACACATTACAAATCAAGGTGTTTGGGAACCCACACTTTACAGTGTTTTAGCAAGCAGCTGGAAAAACTAAATTAGGAATTTGTCAGCCATGTCTTTGCAGGGCCCAGAACAATGAAAGCAGTAAGCCTTACTTATTTTGGACATGTATCGTGGAGTTAGCGATACAAGTGTGATGCTTTCATTAAAATGACAAAAGCATTCAGGGCCTCAGGGAACTTGTAATCACGGTACAGATTTAACCAACTAGTTTAGTTGATCTCAAGAAAATGCTAGAAGCTCTATATTACAAGAGTAAATGCAGGCATATCTTTTTAAATACTCCCTCTCTTTTTTGGTTGTTATACATAAATTGCTTCAGAAGATGGATGGGTATATGATAGATAGACTGACCGGCCGGCCGACAGACAGACAATGGAAGGATAATAGACAGATAGATAAACAGGAAAGTAGGTAGGCAAATAGACGGATGGATAGATATACATAATAGATGGATAGATATACATAAATTTGATAGAGAGATAACAGGATAATAGAAAGGCAGGCAGACGGATGGACAGATGGACATAGATGATAGATGATAGGTAGGTAGATAGGTAGGTAGGCAGACAGACAGATGGGCAGACAGATCGACCGACAGATAGACAATAAAATTACCTTCACTGGAGCAAAGATAAAGCTGCACTTGAGTTTGATTATGTGGCTCTAACAAGATTGCTCGAGTTACAAGAAGAAAATGTGAGAAAAGTGACTTGCTCTTCTAGGCAAGAGCTCCCATATGAGAAGATAAGAGATCTCCCAAATCCAATTTAGCTGTAAATAAATCAATAAATAATTTCAAGGCTAAACTTTCCAATTCAACTCCAACCTAATTTAATTTTAAAAGCAACGCTGCCTTATTACACTTCACTGGAAACCCTTCAGTAAGGGTATCCAACTGCTATTCAGATTTCTGAACGTGTTTTCCCCCATAGCAGCAGCTTCAACAAAAATAAATAAATAAATAAATATCTGAAATACCAGACTCAGGAGACATTTCATTCAGCAACTTCACCATGCCTTCCCCCTGGGCCTCGGTCCATTTCTTGATAGGTGATCCACCTCCGATTCGCCTGTACTGCTCTTGGATTTTTGGAGTGCGTCGCTTTGCAATAAAAGGTCCTAATTTGCTGAAATACGTAAAATAGATATGGTTAATAATCATACATTTTACCTTCTTTCCCCCTTGATGGGTTAAAAATAAAGTTTAATGCTAAACACACAGACACACTAAGAGTGCGAAGGCCACAACTGCTTGGATCCTCACATATACTATACCAATACACTACAACATCTTAGGTTCTTAGGAAGGTTCTTTGTGTATAACGGTCAATACCATCTAAAAAACTGGCAGCTGTGATGTCACATGTTTGTGTATATAATAATAATAATACAGACAAAAAGGCGAAATCCAGTCTAAGCATCTGACTGACTGTATGACCAACCATAATGATAATAGGATGTAGCAATTCCTCAATATTTTGCATCCTGGCCTTACCCAGAAGCGGTAGCTTTTTCCTGTTGCAAGGGCTGACATAATCTGAAGAATGATTAATGGTTTCTAATACATTCTAGTATATTTATATTAATGCGTAATACATGATTAAGAAACAGAAAGTAGGTACAAATAGGTGCAACTGGATAAAGAAAACATGTACACAGGAACATTCATTCATTTCTTTAGATATAAATGTATTCTCCTTTTCCCTCTGGGTGCTCTCAAAATATTTTGCTAATCCCCAAATTCCAGGTAAAGGCAAAGAATTCTGCAAGCCTCGTGGTGGAAAAAGATGACCTACTAAAATCATCCTGCTAGCTTAGATCCCGAAGTAGCTAATATGCACTCTATGTGAATGAGAGGGCTTGGAAGAACCCATGATGCTACAGAAATGCAAAGAAAGGTCCTTTAGAAAAACAAAATTAATTAGACTCATTTTGTGCAATTAAACAAGTTCTTAAGCCTCTCTCTCAAGTTCATTAAGATATCCAGTAGCTGGAGGATTTTCTTACTTTTGCACAGGAAGCGTCATTAGATCTCTATCAAGAAAAAGTCTTTGGAGGAACTCATGGACATCTTCCAGAGTCTCTGGGCCTCCCATATTTAACATTAAGATCCCCGTTTTAGGTTTCCTGTGGAGAAAAAAAAGATAATAAAATGCTTTTTATACACCATTGATAAATTTAAAATTATAATGTATATGGCAGGATTCTGGCAGTTACTCCAATTAAATCATGAGCCTCGAGCCACACTCCCAAACTAAAAAAAAATTATTTGAAGTTAACATTCTACATCCAGCATTTACTTGAGTGTGGCCAACTCTGAGATACATAATTCACTGTCACCCTTGATCCTGCTTTCCCCCGCCACCCCTCTGGGGTATCATCCAACGAAAAACGTCCATAGCCAAGAGTCATCAATCATGCTCTCCAATTAGATTTTTTCCTGGCAGAAGCTTGTCATCTAATCAGTCTTTGAAGAAAATATGAATGGAATGTACTTTCGATTCCACACTGCTGCCTCCTCTTTGAAACTCCCCCCACTTCTTTCTGTTGTCAACTATAAATACAAAATGTTTTATGAGTTGACAGCAGTGGTGGTATTCTACCAGTTCGGCCCAGTTCTGCTGAGCCAGGAGCAGCAATGAGCAGCAGAGACTGAACCAGTTTTCTCCGCCACTCTGTTAGGCCCACCCACCCACCTGGGCTTCCATACTCACCTTTATCCTCTGAATTTGAAGTGCAGCTGCTTTGCACGGCACAGAAGAGTGCCACGCAGCAGCTGCTGAAGTGACCGGAATAGTGCAGGCTTGCAGGAGGTGAGTTAGAATGCCGCTGCGCCTGCACAAATGCCTCTGTGCCTGCACAAAGTGCGCGTTTGGTGCATGTGTACATACAAAGTGTGCACACATGCGCAAAGCGCACCCACCAAACCACACCCACCAAACCACACCCACCAAACCGGTGGTAAACATATTTGAATTCCACCTCTGGTCGACAGTATAATTATATATTACAAAATTATAATTTATAATTAATTGTAAAGTGATAATGTATAAATCAAAGACAAATTTATTTTTGGGTTAACTGTAGAGCTATATTTCTCCACCTCAGTGACTTTAAGACAGGTGGAATGGACTACATCTCCCAGAATTCCATAGCTGGACACATTGTAAAGTCTACTGCAGAGTCACATTTCTATAATTTTGGGGGCACAATTTTGAAGTCAGCTTCTAACTCCCTTCTTCCAGGACTTTTTCCCCAAAAGGTCTTGTTTATTTATTTGTTTGTTTATTGCATTTAGATTCTACCATCTCATTATCAAGCAAGCCCTGGGCACCTTACAACATCATAAAATAACAATCTAAAACACAACCTTTTTTGTGGTCAACCAGTTAAGGTAGATGATGGCACCTGGCACCTGGGCACACCTTTTGTGGATAATGAAGATTGTTTTTGTCTTTGGTTTTTTCCTAGGTATCCCAGAGTAATTTTGATATACCGCTGTAGGGAAAGTGCTATGGCTGAATGGAGAAAGAGAACATAGAACGTAGAATTGGAGGGTTGGAGGGATCTTAGAGGTCTTCTACTCCAACCACCCGCTCAAACAGTCCTGGGAAAATATCAATCCATTGAACGTTAACCTTACAGTATTTGTATCTCACAGATTAAAAATACCATGAAGAGCTGATTCCAGGGAATAATTCTAAAAACAATAAAAAGTGAATTCTTTTAAATGACCTCTGTTAAATAAATTTCTTCCAACCGCACTGTTCTCTTTTAGGACAAACAGGCAAGTCTTCAAAATCTTACTTCCTAAGCAAAAAGGAAATTGACTACAGCTTTATCCTTAGGCATATTTCAAATCCCCAAGATAAAAAAAAAACAACCCTTGAAATATTCTTCTATATCAAATCTCAAAGCAAGTAACGGTAATCTTATACTCGGAAGTTAATTCTTCTAAATTCACCGATACACGCCTAGCAAGAGATTAGAATTAAAAACACATGGAGTATTTGATCTCTCTGAGCTTGTTTTCTGGCAGATGTTTCATTACCTAACTAGGTAACATCAGCAGTGCAGGTGAGGGTAGAAACTACACCCCCCCACAAACACACATTCAAACTAACAGGGCAAGCCACTGCATATATACAGGCAGCAAACCTTACTCTCACTGATAATGTTACCTACTTGGACAATGAAATATCTGCAAGTAAACAACTCAGGGAGTACCAAGGACTATACTGTTCAACCCTGATCTACAAGTATTCTCTTCTATTGGAATAGAAAGCATATTATTAAAAGTTTTACAGCAAGTTTTCTCTACATAGAGAATTCCAGCTACAGGAACTGCAGCTTTGAGACAAACCAAAGCCAATAAATTAATGAATAGATTACTGAAAGGAGTAGATTTTCTTCCTCCCTTATCAGTTTGGTCAACTGTGGCTGCTTTAACACCCCTTAAAATGCCAGGTGAGAAGTACAATATGCCTATCCATTCAATTCCATTGGTGTGTCTTACCTCTTTTCAGGTTGAATATGTGGCTTTGCTTTTTGGACAGCGGCTGTTGACTGCCATCTCCAATGCAACTGGATTCTTGTCTGATTCCAGCTGTTCCTTTTTGCAACTAAAGGAAAGACAAGAGACCAAACAAAGCCATTTACTTCCTATAATTTTACTTCGTGTTTTGAAAATAATTTGGTCATCTAAAGTATACCCCAGAGCCACAAGTTAAATCAGTGTGCTATTGACTCTGTTGTGTATAGCAGGGCTCTCCAACCTTGGCAATTTTAAGACTTGAGAACTTCAACTCCCAGAGTTCCTCAACCAACTTTGCCTGGTATACAGTACAATTTTTCCTGAGTCCTTGCCTTGGAAGAGATGCAAATGGAGTCAGGAAAAAGAAGTTGATAGAAAACTACATCTGTGTTTGATTTCATTGAATTGACAGTGAAACCAACACATCTAATTAACATGCTTCTCCTTAAAACAATCATTTGTTCCTTTTGTCATATTAACTTTACACAAATTGATGACAATTTCTGAAATTATTGTCCTGGAATCCTCCTGGGCAGGCCAAAAAAAGTGGTTAATTTGGCACACCAATGAGCTACGTCCCAAAGTGGTACACAAATGGACATCTCATCATGTGAGAGGATCTCTTTGGTTGATAATGCCTTATAGGCTTAAACACAATTAGCATATTTAAGGAACCACTTGTTTTGGCAGATAGACATCATTTAGCTAGCTAATCATCTAGCTATCAATCAAAAGTTGGAGAATGTAGAACTACAAGCTGAAATCTGTTCCCTAACCTGAAGATTTAGAATGGTTATCAACAGGAATTTTTGGAATCTTACAAAATATTTGAATCCCCTACCCTCCTTGAGCCTAAGGAAAAAACCTTTTAGAGCTGACATAATGTTTTGCACTCTTCTACCCTACGTGGCAGGTATTATGAAATCGGACTTCAACTCCCAGAATTCCTCAGCTGGAGTTGAATAACAGGCATCTTAACGTTTTCAAGGTTGAGAAACATCGCTATAGAGCAGCATTAATAGCCATATGACTGGAGCAGGGGTGGGTGGGCAACTATGGCCCTTTTTTACAACCTGTGAACTTCACCTCTGGCTCAGGAACTCCTAGGAGTTGAAGTCCATAGTTGTAAAGGGGCTATAGTTGCCCATCTCTGCTCCGAGAGATAGAACCAGTTCAAATGCATGTTTGTAATGTGACTACTAAAGAGAATTCAGAAATTACCTTCCGTTATATTGTAATGATATCTAATGTCATGAGGAGGATGTGTAGTCAGAGAAGAGAAAATCTCATTCTCCAGAAGCAAAGGGAGAAGTGGTAATGTCTCAGAAGACGTGTAATGACACTTTACATCAGGGGTCTTGACAGCTTTAGGACTTGTGGACTTCAATTCCCAGAATTCCTCCACCAGTCATGTTAGCTTAGGAATTCTGGGAGTTGAAGTCCACAAGCCTTAAACTTGCCAAGTTTGAAGGCCCTTGCCTTACAATAATGCTTGTGGCTGGAGCTTTTTTACTTGGTGATCTCAAAGGGCTGACATATCTAGGCACCCAAATTCTGCAGGGTCCCTCTCTTCTTCTTGAGGTTATGGCACAGGGACTTGACAACTTTAAGACTTGAGGACTTCAACTCCCAGAATTCCTCCTCCAGTCATGTTAGGTCAGGAATTCTGAGAGTTGAGAAGTTCACAACTTGCCAAGTCTGAAGACCCTTATGCCAGAGCTGCTCTTAGGGGTGCACTTTCCTTTATGCCAGAGGTCTCCAGACTTGGCAACTTTTAAGAGTTCAACTCCCAGAATTCCTCAGCCAGCCATGCTGGGCTAGGGAACCCTGGGAGTTTTTTTTCTTTTTTGAAAACAATTTTATTGGTTTTTAAAAACAAAACAAACAAAACATAAAAACATCCAGCTTTTTTTCATAAATATACAAACAGTGTGTGGGTTGGTTTACCAGTTTTTGTGCATTCATTTCGCAGTCTCAATTACAGTTACATTACATAATAACTCATATTATCAATCAGAAATTATGTATCCTAGTATCACTATTAAACAATAGTGGAACCCTGGGAGTTGAAGTCCACATGTCTTAAAAATTGCCAAGTTTGGAGATCCCTGTTTTATGCAAACTGCGGCAGAGTGGGGTAACAAAATCCTTCCCGGGGTGTGTGTGTATTGGGACCCTAACCCTTTCCCCATGGCCAGGTTACCCTCTCGAGCCTCGAGCCACCCTTGCTTTCAGGGCAGCTTTCGTGGCTTGCCAACCCCAGAACACATCGGCGCGATTTCTGGCTTATCCGATGCAAGGCGGGAGAAATGCAAAGGACCCTCCAGATCCAGAAGAGCTCTCGGGCGCGTTTTGATGCCGGGGGGAAAGCTAACGGTGTCGCTATCAGAGATGCCTCTGGCCCCAGCCCAGCAGTTTAGCTTAACAGCGGCCCGGCTGAGTGCAAGCACCCCATAGCCTTTCCCCTACAGTAGATCGACCCCCACACCAAAGCTATGCCCATGCCGGCCCCCAGCCCCCTGCAAGAGGCAAGGCAAGTCCTCCAGCCTCCAGCATTCAACGAGGCAGCGAAGGGTGGAAATGCACCTTGCATTCCGCCTTCCCAATCTTAAAACTGCGGATCTGGAGGATCCTGCAAGAAATCTTGTCGTCCCCCTTTTTTAAAATAATTTTTTTAAAAAAACTCACAAGGCAATCGACATACTTACATGGATGCAAGACTCGACTCGCAGCTCGGAAGGCAGCAGCCATATTTGTGCAAAGTCAATAGATTCTCCTCCTGTACGGCAGCCGCAAGGCAGAGCGTCTTTCCAAAGGGAACCGGATTGCTCTGTTGCATTCCTTTCTCCGAAGTCTCTTAGGCTCTGCCCGGCATGCTACTTCCCCTCAGCAAACCCGCGGGAGAGAAGGGAGCCCCTCCCTCCCTCTCGGTGGTTGCCGGGAGACAAAAAGAGGGCGGAGTCACAGGGCAAAGCGGTGAATCAATGAGGGGGCCGAGTGACTCAGCGCTTCGGGTTCGCATGGAACTAGCTGAGGGGAGATACGGCTCGTCGCGCGTCTGAGCCTCTCAACAAGCAGGGGTGGGGGGCGAAATAACTTTAGTATGAGGATGAGAGACCCCTAGGAAATCCATTGCTGAATTTAGGCAGACGAAAAACACACACTAAAAAATCCAAATGGCCGTTTGAAAGTGGCAAAAATACAGAAGTCTCAAAAATCCTGCCAGGTAGTGGCGGTATAGACCTTTTTCAGCTTGACAACTCTTAATTGCAAAAATTTCATTGTCTACTAATCATTACAAATGGAGTCCCAAAGGTGCTTTTTCAAGAGGCAAGCTGGACTTTCTGGTTTTTCTTTTGAAGACTTTTTGCTTCTCATCCAAGAAGCTTCTTCAGTTGAAGAAGAGTTTGAAGAAGCTTCTTGGATGAGAAGCGAAACGTCTTCAAAGAAAAGCTGCCTCTTGAAAAAGTACCTTTGGGACAACCGTGACCTGGATGACTGAGAATCTCCATAGACATTACAAACTAAGATAATAATAATAATAATAATAATAATAATAATAATAATAATAATAATAATAATAATAATAATAATAATAATAA